ACTCCGAGGCTATCCGCCACTTCTCCAAAATTTTGGACGGCCGCCGTGGAGCTCCACAGGGATTCCTGGCAGAGTGCTACATGCAGCGCGCCTCTGCTTTCCGGGCAGCGGGGCGGATTGCCGAGGCTATCGCGGACTGCAATCGGACTCTGGCTCTTGAGCCGAGTTGTATACAAGCATTGGACACGAGAGCCTCACTTTTGGAGACCATCCGGTGTTTGCCGGATTGCCTACATGACCTGGAACACTTGAAGCTTTTGTACAACTCCATCTTGAGGGATCGGAAGCTGCTGGGGCCGGCGTGGAAGCGGCACAACGTGAGGTACAGGGAGATTCCGGGGAGGCTGTGTTTGCTGACGACCAAGATACAGCAATTGAAGCAGAGGGTGGCTTCGGGGGAAACAGGAAATGTGGATTACTATGCTTTGATTGGGTTGCGACGGGGTTGTTCGAGGTCCGAGTTGGAGAGAGCACATTTGCTTCTCTGTTTAAGGCACAAGCCCGATAAGGCCACCATTTTCATTGACCGGTGCGAGCGGGTGGATGATCGGGATGTAGATTCAATTAGGGATAAAGCGAAGATGTCAGCTCTGTTGCTTTACAGATTGCTGCAAAAGGGTTATTCAAACGTGATGGCAACCATCACGGAGGAGGAGGCAGCTGAGAAACAGAGGAAGAAAGCTGCAGCTGCATTACAGGCAGCTCAAGCAGCAGCAATGCAAGTGCATGTATCCCAAAACCAAGCCCAAGAATCTCAAGCAGAAGCAATGGAATCCTCCTCCTCCTCCTCTTGTTCTTCCAATTCTAGCAATAGGAATCGTAGTATTCATAACAAGAATAATATGCATTCGTCGTCATCGGAAGCGAAAGAAGCGGCGGCGTCGTTCCAAGGGGTGTTTTGCAGAGACATTGCGGTGGTGGGGAATTTGCTGTCGCAGGTTGGGTTTAACCGCCCAATTCCAGTCAAGTATGAGGCACTGAGCTGCTGATTGAAAAATTGCAAGTACAATACCGGCGGGAAGAATCTTGCTTCATTTTGTTTTCTGTCTGTAGTCTGTACAAACCAAAAAAAAAAAAGAATATTTCAAGACTTGCCGGGAAATTTTGTCACCATTTTTCCATTTTCCTTATCTAGTACTACTCTGCTTGTACGGCTGCCGCTTCGACTAGTACGTGTACAAAATTTCTACTTTTTGAATTTTTTGCTTTTATCGGATCATATAAACCAACCGCATTAACACTTAAAAAAGTACTAATTCAAACACAATAATCCCATTATTTGGTTTATCAAAACTGGTATACTTAGCATTATTCTAAAAAATAATAATAAGTTGTACGAAGCTATTAATTTTTAAAAGTTTAAAATTCTAAAATACAGTAAAACTAAATAAATAAAAAGAAAAACCAGAAAATAGGAAAACAAAAACTTTAATTGCTGAATCTAGCAAGATTAACAACTTTTATGGCTGTCTAAGAGTGATTTAGTCGCTGAAGCTTCAGCAGGCATCCATGAACTCTTGTTGTTTCTTTCCACTCTCTCCTCCTTTCTCGTTTCTCCTTCCTTCCATTGCAAAGCTTAAGTAAAACAATAATAATCAATAATTATGCATCTCCCATTCTCCATCTCTGTGTGAAGTGCTGGTTGGGGGAGCGGAATATGCTTTATTTATTTATTCACATATTTTACTCGATAAATTATTCCACTGTTACTTTGCAACCCCGTAAAGAGCTACTAGATCAAGAAAAAATAGTAATGCTACTGCTACTGCGCATACACACACACAGAGATTTATGTAATGATATTACGGAATCCAGATACATTCATTTATTGATGCACGTGTTCGTAAATATAATACTGTTTTCAAAAAAAAAAAAATATATATATATATATAACATACATACAACCGTTTGCGTTTGTGCAGGAGCATCATTATGTTTGTTTGTGGGGGATCCGATGACACCTTTTTTTATACATTTTTTTGTGGAATTAACTCTATAATGTATTTCAACGATCTGAAGGTCTTCTCTCAAAAATTATCTCTGTAAAATCATCAAAATTCAAAATCATATAACCGTTAGATTAAATTTAATGTTTATTTGTACAAGTGTATTCGTCCATTTTCAAGTTAGGATTATTTAAGAAGGGGAGAAGGGAATGGGTGGAAATTAATGAGATGAAGAACAACCATTATCAAGAATTACAGTACAGATGGGATTGAGATGGATCCAAAGGCAATTGGTTAATGGCTTTTGTAGCTAAACTGTAATTGCATTTATGGTTTTAGGTCCCAAAAAGCAAGGGGTTCTCTGTTCCATGGGAAATGTCTGTGTCTACTGGCTGCGCTGCTGCCCCATCCAAAACTTACCAAACTGTCAGTTTTCACTTTGCCGGAAAAGAGGACAGGATACGATCATACGACTGTTTGCCAATGCTAAATGCCAGAAAAAGATTGTATTGGCCCCGGCCTACCCAACCCCAGCAGGACCTCATAAATACACACACACAACACTTCAGGGTTGTAAGTGAAAAAGATTGTAGCAAAAATGCTCCTGTTTAAAAAGCAGCAAACGGGTTACGGAACATTTACTCAAGTCACGGTTTCCTTTTCTTTTGTTGCAAGTGTGATGATATGAGCAGTGAGCTCCTTTTATCCCAATCACTCCGCTTTAGCTTCCATCCTTTCAATCCACCTTCAGTTATGTTTTGCTTTTCTTAATTGGCTCCACCCTTTTATTTGTCCCTTTAAGAAACATCAACCAAAAAGATGATTTGGGAATTTCCAATTGTCACTAATCTAATCATCTTCGTCAGGCATTATATGTATTATGATTAATCAAATTTACCAATCGGATCCAAATCTCTCTCTCTCTCTTTCTCTTTCTCTTTATATATAACATATAATTGCCACATGTTCTTGGGGTGTTGAAAAGTAGTAGGTTAGCAACCACTTGTTAATAATCAACAATCCACAAGGCTGTAATTGCGCTCTTAATTACTCTCTCTCTTACTTTTTTTTTTTTTTTGGTTTGTTTGTTATGCTCTCCGTGTGCTTTCATAAGGGTGGGTGGGTGGGTGTATGATGATATAATAAAGCAGGAGTACGCTAGTTCTAATGTTGGAAACCATTCACTGTAAAAAAACAAAAACAAAACAAAAAAAAAACCGTGAAGATTGATGTTTTACACAATTGTAATGACTTTTAATCTATCAATGAAATCACTATTGTTTCTCTTCAAAAAAATGATAATAAATTTGGTAAAGTGGGTATAGATGGTAAAATTTGGTCACTCACTTTCTTTGACTTATATACCTTAATTTGCAGCATCCCTTTAGCCTTTTAGCTAGCTGTGGAAGTCCTGTTCTTTCTTTGTGTGTTGAAAACTTGAAAGTTGAACTCATTCACGCTCCCCTCCCCACCCCACCCCACTCCCCCCCACACCCCACCCCCCCCCCCCCCCCCCCCCCCCCCCCCCCCCCCCCACCAACAAATAAAAACAGTCCCACCTCTTTTGGCAGTTTTTCCAATTGTTTCAGTTGGTTGAATGGTTCCCACTTTTATTCGCTCTGTCTCAACCCTCAAGCTAGTAAGCTACTACTATATGATTCTATGTGAGGGGCCACCAATAAGAAATGTCAACATAAGTGGGACGTATCTTCTAATGTAGAGAAATACTAAGAAAACTCTCTTTAAATTGGACATAGACTTTCTGTCGTTTCATAATTTAACTTTAATTTTTATATCAACATTATAAAATATTATACCAAAAACATATAGCAGAAAGTTCATAGAGAGTTTCACTTTGAAAAAACCTCTTTCGCATTTCTCTCTAATCTAACCTCATCTCATCTCATCTTATCTCCTCATAGGCTACTACCTTTTTCCATAATATATAATGTACTGTTCTGAATATATCCTTTCAAGTTCGACCACTAATCACTAGTGTTAACCACTCTCAAGGCATGATTCATCAGACACAGTCTCTTTCTGTAACATCCCACATCGCCCTGGGAAGTGATCCTTAAATGTATATTTTCATCCCTACCTAGCACGAGGTCTTTTGGAAGCTCACTGGCTTCGAGTTTCGCAGGAACTCCGAAGTTAAGCGAGAAGGGGGCTAGAGCAATCCCATGATGGGTGACCCACTGAGAAGTTGCTCGTGAGTTCCCAAAAACAAAACCGTGAGGGAATGGTAAACCCAAAGCGGACAATATCGTGCTACGGTGGTGGAGCGGGCCCGGAAAGTGATTCGTCCCGGGCCGGAATGTGACACTCTCTCTCTCTCTCTCTCTCTCTCTCTCTCTCTCTCTCTCTCTCTCTCTCTCTCTCTCTCAGAAGATAAGACAGGTGATCGATGGCTCAGGAGGGAGGAGGAGGTTGGATCGGATGGACCTCTGAGAGAGCACCAGAACTAGAAGAGAAGAGCTCAAGACTTCCAGGAATCCAAGTGATGGTAGGGGGGATTTTTTCAAAGTCTAGAACACACTTCGACTCAGAATGTTTACCCGGACACTTGAATCGAATTGTGCTAACCAATATCTGAAGGGTGACGAAGTCATAAAATGATGGTAATGTAGAAAGTGCTACTAATTTAAAACTTGAAGTAACTAATACTATTATGCGCATGTAAGCTATGTTGAAATCTTATCGCAAAAGTGATGTCAGAGTATAAATAAATTGCAATAAAAATAAAGAACATTTACATCGTAAGGAGAAGCCTCCTTAATGTCAACTTTTGCTAGAAATTCTCGGTCACTAGAGCTTTGCCGCTCAATTAAACAAAAGTGAGTGGACTTATAAAGAAAGTTTTGTAAAACGTTTTCAAAAAGTGTAACCCTTCTATGTAAAACAAGTATATAGCTTCCATAAAATACAATACATGCCGGGTGCTATACACTATTACATGGTACCCCACATGTTATCATATAAGTGAGGAAATTTATATTTTTTATGCCTCTCCAATGGTATTATAACATGTAGAGTGTTATAAAAAATTTCTGGTGGTGATAGAACTAGAAGAAGTAAACAAATTTCTGGTTGTGATCATATATTAACATGGCCCAGTCACAACTCAGAAAACAACTTCACTTCTCCTCTTCTCTTGTGTGCATTTATTAATCAAAATCAATATCATCGTACGATTACAGATTTACAAGACAGTAGTTTTACTCTGCTCTACAAGCCATTAACTGTCAACCAACCAACAAACCCTTCTTCCTTTTCTTGGAAGACTTGGTGCTGTTTTTGCTCCAACTACAGTTTGGACAAAACCAGTCATCCTCCGGAATACTTTCGAGCGGTGGACTGCAGCACTCGATATGAGTACCAATGCCACACCCCACGCTCCCACTTTCGTTGCCGCATATCAACATCACCTCTCCTCTCTCCCCACACCCACACACCACGCAAGCTATATCACTACCACCACCGCAACTAGAATCATCACCATCCTCACCTGTAAACGCTTCCTCCACCATGTCCTTCGCCCTGCTCTGCACTCTCTCAAATGACTTCTCTGCCCACGCATTGGAGTTGTATAGCAGGTGTCTGTCAAGCCGGTGCCCAGGTTTGCACACGTACTCAACCAAGTAATCGGCCACAACGGAGGGTATCTCATGCTTCAACAACTCTTGTACCCACATATCGGCATGGGGCATGCCTGGACTGACAATGGCATAGTCAACCCCTGACTTAAGGAAGCGGGTGTAAGGAGGAGAAGTTGCCAAAATTGTTCCATCACCAGCCTTCATGACACGCTTCAGAGTATCCTGTTTGAAGACAAGAAGTGCACATTCTGGTTAACTCTCTAGTTGGCTTTCAATGGATTCCGAGGAATAACATCCCCCATAAGCATGAAAAAAGAATTGGACTATTTGAGAAAGATATCTAATGTTCTTTGGCAAAAGATAAGGCACAATTTGCATCAGAACAATGTAAAAAAAATCGAAATTAAAATTGGAAAAAATGACGTACCAAAGGTGGTGCAATACATTCACCATATATGAGAATGCGCATTCCGTGGAACGCACCATGGCCTGTTCTCTCTCTCAAGAGCCGCCACTTCCTTGGGGCCTCCAAATTGATGTTACCATCTTCACTAAGGCCATTCTTGTACCATTCATAAGGTTCTTCTTCCAAAAACCTTCCTTCCTTATCACTAGCTTCCAGATAATCACTCTTAAGAATCCACCTGCACTCAACGTAGAATACATTAAAGCATCCATTTGCACTGTGAAAATTCAATTAGCTGATCCCAAGAATCCCAGGATAAGGGCACGCTAATGAGATAACAATAATATAAATACCTTCCAGACGCTACAGCTGCAAAAAACTTTTCTGTCCTGCCAACTCGATCTGGAGAGATGAAGTGCGTTGCCTGGTAAGACCAGTGATGAGAATCCCAGCAACATTGTCCTTTCAAACGCTTGACAACTTTCTGAAACTCCTTTCTTTGAAATCGGTGCCCACTCAGAATAAACCTTACAGGTTCAATTTTAACTTTGCTTGGAGCCTTCCCTTCGGGTGTTGAAGGATTGTTACTTCTCTCCACAGATGTTTGAATTATCTTCAACGGAGTTATATCAGATTTAGCTGTTGATTTTTCTGCCTGCTGTTTGGACTTGCTTACAGTTTGATCTCCACCAACAGTTGGCCTGTTCTCCTTCATTTTGGAAGAGTTCTCTAACTTATTTTGGGGCACACCACTGCACTTAGATTTGCCTACTAAACCTGCACGTCTTTTTTCTTGTTTCTTCTGTGTCACCCCAGTGTTATCATTCCGAGTATTTTCCTCAGAGACAACTTTGTTAGGCTTCACAACATCCGTGACAGGGGGAACAGTTTTCAGCTTGGTTTTACCCAAAGCACGCTTTTGCCCTTGGTTCTTCTTTCCCTTGACAGCATTTCCGTTTGCAGTTGACTCAACCAGCAGATAAATGTTGTCAGAACCTGACTTGGCCATTACATCGCGAGGAGCACAGGCATCAGAGTGATCCTGTAGGTGCTGCTCCTGTCCTGAACTATCATCCATAGTAACACATTTACTTGTTGCCTGGGCCACCACACCCTTAGCTTCATGAAGTACATTCTCCAATTTATGTTCACTTTCTTCCTTCGGAGCCTCAGTTTCATCATCCATAGATTCACTGTTTTTCTCAGCAACATCTGCAGACTTGTTAACATCTTTTCCCTCCACCTCGTTTGGGGGCTCAAAATTAACATCTGGACAGAGCACACCAAGCTTCGTGGGATCAGGGGATTTTTTAGTATCATTTAAGGAGGCATCTTTATATAAGTGCACAGACCCCTTTTGGTTAGCAGAAACTAACTTAGGCCAAGAACCTAGAGTCTTCTTGGACTTCACCTTCTGCTTAAGATGTTTTGTTACCAAGTCATTATTTCTCTCTTTAAGCAAGTTCAGACTAGCAGGGTCGTTGGAACTATTATTCACCGAATTTTCATTACTTGGAGATGAACCCCCCACATTTTGGGGCTGATTTTGCAGTTCCACCGTTTTGCTGACCGCAGTTGTAGTCTTTTCCTCAGCAGAATCTGCAATGCCGGGCTTGCTGGATAAGCTGGATTTTCTTAATCTTCGAAAAGTGGTTGGAGATGATTTCGTGTTTGTATTTTCATCTTTCCCCGTGTTTGAGATCGCAGCGGCAGAGAAAGTCAAAGTACTTGAATTTCCTGCAGCATTCAAATTGCCAGTTTTATCCAGAGAGTAGTCATCTTTTGCAACGATATAATGGCTAGTAGTCTCACATGAACCATCAATCAAAGATGTAGGCTTTACTTTTGGAGATCTAATACTAGATGAAGGACTATGCATACTGCCTGATTTTGCACCCGGATTCGTCTTCTGTGATTTGGAGCTAGCATAAGAGAGATCCATCACCCTATTCTGAGGAAATACACCACTTGACTCTTCTCTGTAAATTAGTATCTTTTAAAGGGACTTCAACACAATTGGAGTCAAAATTTTCATCTGCTTGATCTGCGTTCAAAGTGTAAGAGGCCAAATCATCATTGGCATTTAATTTGCAAATGGGTACTTTAGAAGACACACTACCACGGCCTGATTTATATCCCACGTGTAGTGGAAGTGTTGGCCTCCATGAGGTTTGCCTTGAGTAGCTTAATTTCCCAGCCGAGTGAGAAGCCCTTTCAGCAGAACCACAATTAGTTATGAAATCATCTCTCACCTTAGGATCAGGGGTTCCGTGATGTTGATCATTTAGGTCACCGCCACCAGCAGCCCTCAACTGGCATGCATCCTGACAACTTAATCCCTTGGAAACATAAGAATTAGAAACACTTGAGGCTTGATCCAATTTATTCTCATTCCGAGGAACTGATAAGTTGCCAATGGCATTATTAAAAACCAAGGGAACATTAGGCATCTCTCCTTCTGGTATAGGCAATCTAGGTGTTGCTGGTGAGCCAGCTTTTATATTGTGAGGACTCTTATACATGCTTCTCACCCCAGCTTGCTTCACAAATGTGTTTTCAGCCTCATCTTCTGAATCTCTAGCCTCAGCTTCCATCATCTCCAGTTCATACCCACTGTTGAGAAAGTGAGTGATCAGCATATAAATTTGCAGGTCTATAGTGAAAAATATAGTTCAAAAGTTCACACGCAACCAACTCACCTAGTCTTGTACTTATCTTCTGGAAGAAGTTGCCAATCCCTTAAGCTGAAGCATGTAAAAAGGAGCTTAGACGGAAACAAATAAACAATTCATAGGGATGGAAAGTTTCTTTTCTTTTGTTTCAACAATCTGAATAGATGCCAAATAATATCAAAATTTTAAAACATAAGAGAGTGAACAGAACATGAACTTACCAATCTTCCAACCAATGATGGTTGACCAGCTTCATCTTTGGGTTTTTCTTGGCAAGTTCGTACTTCTCCCCTGACAATATAAAAACCATTTGTTTCGTAGATATAAAAGTAAAGAGCTAAAGAAGAATGCATAACAGAGAATAGATAAAATGCATACCCTCAAATTTGTAGCACACGAGATGGGTGACTTTGTTTGCCACCAAGGGCTTAGAAAACTTAGCACCCATTAACCCAACCATTGTCTGATAAAGAAAACAGAAACAAATCACGAGACAGGCACATATTACAAATCTCCAGTCTCCAGTAGGGCCTATATCAGAAACATTGCAAAAAAACTAGAAATGCGTACCATAATGTCATCTCTATCTTGTCGTTGATATCCAGTCAAGCATACAATAAGTCCCTTGGCATCCGGAATACCATTCAAATCACTAAGAGGTCTGTATATAATCTGTGCAAAAGGATAATATTAAAACAGAACAGTACTTGCAGACTCCAAGGTTCTTTAAACTATGGCAGCTCGAGTTTTCACATAAAGATTCAGTGAAATTTGGAACTTTGAAACTGTGCATTATCATGTATTAAATAAATGAATAAATGGAAAACTTCACTGGGAATGAGGACATGTTCAAGAAGCTTGATCCCAAAACAAAAGAAAGGAGCAGAACTGGAAAATGATAAGACAAGTAAGACTGAGAAAGAAGGGAAACAAAACTCACCGAAGCGGGATCAACGGGGAGTCGAACATCAAAACTATGATGGACCCATAAAGCGGTGACGAGCGTCTTGGCGTCATTTCGAGCAGCAACACATACGGGATCATCCTACACAATGTAGGAAAATGCACATAATACAGCATTCTTTCACTAATTCTACAATAAACGCAGAAACGGACACATAGCATGAACGTCTTAAAGCGTCAAAACAGAAGCTTGAAGAAGAAATTACAAGGAAAAATAGACTTACATAAACAATTTTATCGACAATGACGTGGGTACAATTGGGGGAGTGGTGGGCAACATCCACTCCGCCGCAATCTACCAGCTTAGATCGAACCTACGCGATTCATAAACACAAAACTAAGCAAGGCTACCACATTACACATGGAAATTTGAGATATTTGAAATTCCTTAGACTGAAGATACAAGGGGGAAGGAGGAAGGAGGACCTGGTGCTCGTCAAAGGGGTCAAATCCCAAGAGAAGGAAACGGACGCCGGCAAACGTCTCGGGCGTTGAACCTCCCCCCGTCATTGAAATTTGAATCCTTTCAACTCTCGCGCTCTCCCAGTGCGTGTCTCAGCAGTTAAATAACTAAAGCCTAGACCCAAGATTCATCCAGTAATAAAACCCAAAAAGGAAAAGGAAGAAAGGTGCGATTCAAGGGGTGAGGCTGCAATCTCATCTGCTTGCTTAAAGCCTAAAACTTGCGGAGGAAGACTCAGAGACCGACTCACTGTTCGGGGGAAAAAATGAAAATTATTGATTTTTTTTTTTATTAAAAAAGGGAGGGATATTTGAATCCTTTCAACTCTCTCGCTCTCTCAGTTGCGTCTCAGCAGTGAAATAACTAAAGCCTAAACCCAAGATTCAACCAGTAATAAAACCCAAAAAGGAAAAGGAAGAAAGGCGCGATTCAAGGGGTGAGGGTGCAATGGCTTCTGCAATCTCATCTGCTTTGCTTAAAGCCTGAAACTTGTGGAGGAAGACTCGCAGACCGACTCACTGTTCGGGGAAAAAATGAAAATGAAAATTATTATTATTTTATAATTAAAAAAGGTAGGGAATTTTCTTTCATTTTTTTCTTATTTTGGTGCATGGCGGGAGGTCTAATTTGTGCGAGCGCGCCACGTGGATCGGCGGCATGACAGATGTTGAACCGTGTCGCTGCCCATTACCGCCAAGATTAATGGGCCATGAAGCCCATAAACCGGCCGAGTGAATCATCAACTCTTCGATCAGACCAGATTGGTGAATCCAACGGTCAGGAATAAAACTAGCTTGAATTGTGAATGGAGAGTCAAAGACGGTGGGCGAATGAAATAAGCAAAAGCACCTACCAACCATTTTCGACAATTCCAGAGAGGAAGAAAATAGTGAGAGAGTAGAGACTACTAGGCATAGACAGATTAGTGAGAGAGAAAGTAGGTAAAAGCTTCAAGCTTCAATCGTTCAATCTCTTGCCATGGCTTGGTTGACGCGATTCCTAGCAGCCGTGGCTTTCTTGGCCATCGGAGTGATATTCTCCCCGGAGACCTTTGGATCGAAATCGGACGGTCTGAAATCGCCCACCCTCTCCACCTACCTAAAGCTGGCTCATCTGCTCTGCTTCTCCACCGCATTCGGCGCCGCTCTCTGGGTCACTTTCATCGGCGGCATCATCATGTTCAAGTATTCATTTTTTATCTTCTCTTGAATTTCCATTTTTTGTCAGTAATTTTGTATTTTGGTTAAAGAAGAAGATTAACAAAAAAATTGAATGATTGATGAATTGGAAAATAGGAATCTTCCGCGGCATCAGTTCGGGAATCTTCAGAGCAAGATGTTTCCGGCTTATTTCACCATGGTTGGGATATGCCTTGCAGTGTCAGCTGGCTCGTTTGGGTATTTGCATCCGTGGAGCTCTTCCTCTGTTGCCGACAAGTACCAGCTCGGCTTTTTGCTCTCTTCCTTTGCTTTCAATCTCACCAATCTGTTCGTCTTCACTCCCATGACTATCGAGGTAATTGCAAACTGCTGTGCATTTTTCATTTCATAAGTTTCCTGACCTTGCAATACTATCGCCAGTTTGTGATTATGTCTGTCTGCGGATTAGGTAGATAAAACGTATCACAACTCTGTCTATGTGTTTATTTGGTTAAGTCGCTGACGCTCACTGTGAAGTTGTTGGTTTATTTGGACCATAACATGTGCATGTCGTCACTGTCTGTCACGGTGCTGGTGGGTGCAGATGATGAAGCAAAGGCATAAGGTGGAGAGGGAGCAGAACATTGGGGAAGAAGTTGGATGGTCAAAGAATATGCAAGTTGCAAAGGAAAACCCAAAACTGGCAGCCATGAATAAGAAGTTTGGTATGATTCACGGACTGTCATCTCTGGCCAACATCTTGGCATTTGGCAGCCTTGCTATGCACTCGTGGTACTTGGCTGGTAAACTTAATCTGTAAGAAAATAAGAACCCAACTTCCCCTTCGCTATGTGGGCTTTCTTCTCGGTTTCACAAAGTAAAACACTTACGATTCTGAGTGAATGTGAATTGACTCAAAAGTTATATGCGCACAAGAAACATAATGTAGGAAGCATACTGTGTTGTGCCGTTGGCCATCGGATGATATATATGCTTTTGTTTTGGTAGGCAATTGTTGTTTGTGGGAATCTGATCGGAAATTTGTTCTTGCCACCCACCGATGGTGTGGCATCTTTCAGTGATGAATAGATGTTGTGGCCATCGAAAATGTGTTCTGCCTATGGCATCTTTTAGTGATGAATAAATGTGACAGTCAATGTAGCACTGATTCCAAATGGCTTCGTGATATTTTCCTTAATGCGCATTCAAAGGATCTTGCAAAGGGTTAAACTCACGGTTTTCTGCCAATTTTGCAAATTTCTGAAAAAATTAAAAGAAAAAAAAAATCATAAAATGTACAAAATATGTATGTTTCATTAACAAGAGATTCATAATAATTTCATCTTGTTTACATAGGAGTATCCAGCTCGACATTCGTCAAGTCTCTGAGAAATGAGAATGGAACAAGAAACGACACCCACTTTGGATTTTGCGTTCTATCTCTAACAAGCAAACAAATTGAATAAAGAATCATCTAATTGTTCCGCCACCCACCCGCCACCCATAAAACATGAAACGTAACATGAATCGGCCGCCTCCCTGATGCCTCGTAACCTAATACTGCCAGATTACTGCTTAGTCACCGGAAACTGATGATGCTGTATGCCCCCAAGACTAACAATCGCGCCGGTACCAAAAGCACCACAAACAAATGCATGTGCTCCCATGCAACAAGTCTACTGAACCGTTTCAACGTTTCTTTTCCCGTCTGCACTGCGCCCGAAAAGTTTAATTGCTCTTCTTGCCCCAGGTTGATTGAGGCAACAGTCCTTCCCACAATCACACCTCCTGCATGCTTGCTTCGGGGTGCTATCAAGGGCCACCACACCTTGCGGCGCTGCTGTCTCCTGGCCTTTCTGATCTGGCTAAGCTCTTCCCGAATTACCCCGCGAACAGATTTTAAGTAAGAATTCACATCATGATCTCTTTGAATGGTTCCTTCTGAACCATATGCAGACCGATCACTTAAGATTTCAAGTGGGTGTGGTGAGTTTAGGAATACCAACTGTGCAGCGCGGAGCTGCTTCTCTGCATCACTGCCATCAGACAGAGGACAGCTTAGAAGATACAGACCGCTGCCTGCTGGAAGAAGATGATGATTTGGGGAGAATTTCTCATCTGGTTGAAGAATCAGGATCTCCCCCATTGGAGAATACAGTAGCTTCTATTTTGAGGAAAGACAAAAATGATCAGCTATAAATGTCAAAATCAGGGGAATGATGAAACAGATATATTCAATGTTTCTTCTGTTCTCCGATTGTGATCTTTATGAGACAGTATTAGTCTTACCTGGTTATTGAGACAGGGATGATTCCGAAAGTTCCCATTCAAAGCCTTGAGAAGCTCTGCCACATGATTTGGGTAATTGCAAGAGAAGGCACGGGGTACAATGTCTCTGTGCAACGTAATAGACTGAACATGACTTCGCGGTAATCCAAGCTTGCGAAGCAATTGATCACCTTCACACATAATGGATGGTGCACCAAAAGTAATAACAGGAAGCAGGGAAGAAATTGGCACTTCTAGCCGTATAAGCAACATGAGATTTATTAAGAGTGCCAAGCTTCCCCCTAAAGAATGCCCAGTATAACGAAAGGTTGCATGGTCACCATGAGATTTGAGGTGAGCATGGACTTCAGGCAGCATCTGTTCGTATATCCCTTTCGCAGCCTCGTATATGCCTCTATGCACAAGCACATCCAGTCCCTAGAAAAAGAAGATTCATTCAATAAGTAATTACTTAAAAGAGCATTCTTCAATCATCTCATACAAACAAGGTCAATACAAAGACTAGGAAAACTAAAGAAAATGTGGAGAAGGGATTAACCTCAAACTGAATGGGCTCAAAAAGTAGATTTGCTTGCCAGGATGCTAGTGATTCAGACCCCTGCAAAACATGTAGATCGGAGGTCAAGTATAGAAAACAAATGAGCTGGTAAGTAAATTATAAAACCGGGAAATATTCTCTGAAACAGAAGTATAAAACCACAATCGGTTTCCTTACCTGAATGACAAAGAATCTGGTGCCACTTCGATCATCATCGCATACGAACCATTCACAAGGTGATGAAATTGTTGAATTTAAGTCATCTGCAACAGCCTGCTTTACTTCTTCCTTTGCAGCAACCACAGCTGTAACTGAGTCGGTGGTTGCCATTAAAGAAGCCACATCTGTGTTCATCCTATTAACAGCTTCACTTCTTTCACTGCCTTCTTCAGGGTAGTCTTTTTCTGCCTCGGTCTCTGAGGATTTGAATGGAAGTATGCTCGTTGTTTGAGAATGCAGATAGGAAGCTGCAGAAGCAGCAATTTGATAAGCAGCAGATGGACTTATTCGATATCCATAGTTCTTTTGCTCCTTTACTTCCGCATCTTCTTCCTTGTCTTCCTTAAGGTTTTTTTCAGTTTCTCGAATCTCAGCTGACTCCTGATCTTTCTCAGTTTTAGTAGTCAATTCCTTCTTCTCTACTGAAGAAGTAACAAAACGCAGACCATAACTTCTTAGAAGATTTCCTGTCTGAATTTGAAACTAAGTCAGAATAAGTTCTTATTATGCAAGTAGCCTTTATATAGGAATTGAATTGGTTGATGGTAAATTAGATACATGAGATGGAATATGTGAGATTCGGGGAGTGATTATCTGATTTAAGGCAAAATGTAACTATAGCATCATATACATATCATGAACCTCAAGTTATTAAGAAGTCAGTAACGTCATCAAACGAGTAGATAATCAAACTGCGAATCGATAAACAACAGAACACAAGACCCGAGTGATGCCTTATTACAAGATGTATAAACTTCATCTTAACACAGAAAATTTCCTAACCGAGGTAAACAACTAATATCTATTAAATCACATTCCTATCAAATGCAGAATTCACTACCTCAGGCGCAGACGCACGTCAAAGGAAGACAAATTCCATAAGATTTTCCAGAATTCAGACGACGAGGTCTTATGACTCATGAATGAGCCCATTTAATTGGCTTACCAGATACAAGTGCTGGATTGAAGAAATTATGGAGACATTAAAAGAAGACGCAGACAAACAAAATAGGAAGCTACAAAAACCGATTTCGAAGAAGCAGCCTAATAGGACTAACTGGTCAGGCAATCAAATCAAAGATGACCAAAATTGCTGGATTACAAAACACGAGAAATTGTAACAAGGGAAATTGGGACCAAACCAAATCAGAAATTATAGAAATTATAGAAACCTCAATTGGGAATGAAGGAATGATGTGTGCGTACCTGGATTTTAGGAATGCAATAAGCTAAGCTCCCCAAATACGACATTTGAGCATACAACCTCGCCTCCGCCAACGAGACCTTCCGAAGCAACCGACAAAACGTGTCTTGATCAAACTCGGCCTCATCTGAAACACTACAACAATTATTGTCGTCATCGTCTTCCTCCGAGTCATCATCCACCAATGTTTTTCTATCTCCCGTGGGTAGCTCTGCAACGCCGCCACTCTTGCCTCCCTGCTGTTCCTCTCTCCTGGGTAGAGAGAGAGACCTCACGTGCAAAATCTTCAAAACCCAGTTCCCACTTTGACCGTCCGACGCCCTGGTCGCACTCTGGAGCTCCTCCTCCTTCTCCTCCTGCTCGCCCTCCTCCTTAGAGGACAAGGGGACGACGTCGTCGAGAGCCATCCCATTGTAGGCGGGTCCACCTCCTCTTGCTGCTCCAGGCCATAAGGATTTCAGAGGGTGCTTGAATGAGAATCCGGAAAACGGCGTTGTCCTTTTCTGAGCCGCGGTTACGGTTGACTTGTCAATCCCAGATGCGGAGGAGCAGCCAATGGCGCTCACCTGAGACGGAGATGGGCTCGTACGGGTATCGAGGGCTGCAGCCGCTGAGATGTTGGAAGATAGGCCGTGTATCCCTGGCGCAGTTGTTTTCAGACAAAGACCATCCATTTCTTGAGACTCCCTGCTTCCTTGTCTTCCTTTCCTCTTCTTTTTGATGTATAGAGAAAGAGAGAGAGGGAGAGAGAGAGAGAGAGAGAGAGAACAAATATGATTAATGGGGATTTTGGTTTGATTTTGTGTTGGGAGGTTTTGGTTTGATTTCGCAAAACACGTAAACAAATAAAAAACTTGAAAGGCGTTAACCTACAATTTACAAATAAGTAAAGTCTCTGAATTCAAATTTGGGTGGGTCGTCTGTGTTTCTTTCTTGCACGAAGCTACGGGAAATGGAACTGAGAGGGAGAGAGGGGCCTTTTAACGCGAGACGGAGAGAGGAAGAAGACGAAAAAGTAAGAAAACAAAGGAAAGAAAGGGAAAAGGGAAAGGGGTTTGTTTGTAATCTAGGGAGTTTTTTGTAAAACCACAAATGCTCACCAAACTTGCAACTTTGCAAGTCACGCCCTTTTCAAGCTTCTCTCAACTGTATGTTTAATGAACCTTTTTTTGACCCACATGGAGAAATAGAAAGGGCCGAACAAGGCGATGGTTTGGATTTGAAAACATTTTCCATTTCCGAATGTTGTAGCGTGCATTAACGTTTTACGTTTCATCGCTAAATTGTTTGCAACTTCATAAAATATTTTATGGGTTTGATTGGGTTCAAATTTCAATAGCTGCTATACATATTCCCTATTAGACTATCAAATTAATAATAATGCATTAGGGAATTTAGAAAGTTTTGGTATACCTTGTTCGTGAAAAAAGTGGCATTGGAGAATCATCGCCTTCACTTTATTATAGAATTCTCTCTGAATTCTCTTTGTGGAAATTCAAATGATCAATCAATCGTGTCCGTTTATCGTACATCGTGTGGTTAGAAATTATTTTAAATTTTAAATTTTAAATTAAATATAAATAGTACCTAACAAAAATTTATTAAACGATGTACAATAAATTGATATGATTGATTGATTTCTGAATCCCTACAAAGAGGATCTCGAAAGAATCCTTGTCCGTAAAGAATCAGAATCTACGGCTGGATCATATGTGTGACGTGTCCTTAATAAAAGGCTCTATCTTTCTTTGTACCTATCTTTTTTATTCGCTACACAACAGAGTAGCAACAAAACAAAAGTCGACAATATTGAATTAGGTATGAAAGAACGGACTTCTTCTACATTTAACACGTGGCCATGACACACCAACATGGCCCTACGTCCTGCCCCTCTCTCAACACTTTCTATTTATGAAACTAATTAGTAAGGATATTACAACGTGGTAATTTATACTCTCTTTTTTTTGTCAAAAATAAATTAAAAACAAAAACAAAAACCATGCGTTGTTGTGTTGTGTTGTGTGTGTTCCTACTTAAAACTGGTGTATGGTATAGTGTGATCCATTGAGTATATAGTACTTGGTTGAAGCTAAACTATTATAACGGAAAAGTCGGCGGAGTTGGATTTTGAAGGCAAACCAACCCTTGTTAGGCAAAACACAAAGGACAAAAGGCAATTTATTAGCTACGGTGAATAGAGCTTTCCCCCCTCAATGTATGTTTCGGAGGCACTAGGCAGGCACACCTATTTCTAATTTTGGACGTCCCTTTAAATGAGGAGGTGGTCTTGATGTCAAATTATGTTAAGAGAGTTGATCCACTTTTTATGTCGCCGTCCGATAACACAAGCATACAAAAAGAGTCGGCTTCCCTTCTTTTGTAGGTGGGAAATAATTGGGATGCCAATTTGGAATATAGTCACCAGCCTAAACTCGCAAGCAAGCCAGCAAGGAAAGTAGGTAAGCTCATCCCCAACTTCCAACCACAACTTCACCCAAATTGCAATTTTCACAACTTTGAGTCCCAAATCCAATCCTTATCCAATAATTTTTGGACGTCTCATTAACCAGGCCCAATTCACGATCCAGTTTAACGGCTCTACTGTGGAATGTCGAATGCATGTAAAAAATTCACAAAAAGATGATATAACAACAACAACAAAAGATATCTTTTTGTCGTCAAATGTTTTGCTCTGTTGGCTAAAACTCAGGAGGAGGGGCTCAGGGCTCAAACAACAACTCAGGGCCTTCTTAATGTCTCTCTACTCATCTCATCATGTTACAATTGGAAAACATTTTAAACTACCAAAACAAAAACAAAATTATATATCCTCTATTCCTACTTACTTATCCCAGAACCGCCTTGATCTTTGTCTTTTGATCATCTGTTACCGAGTTCGGGAATAAAACCTCAAATGTTACGTACAAATCTCCTTTCTTGTTGCTGAAATGTAAAGGCATCCCTTCCCCTTTGAATTTCCTCACTTCCTTGGGCCTTGTAATTCCCTGCATCGTTATCAACGTAAACCTCAGTTTAACCCATACTATTTATCCATCCCCTTCTTTCCCCATAGAAATTTTAAGGTAGAAAAGCATGACATATTTTAAAGCAAATTTCCCTACAGGTGACAAGTACATGCCATGCTCACTCACCTTTGAGCTAATGTCCACCAAATGATCATCAAGGTGCTTAATAGTCTTCTCAAAGCCAACAAGAGCTTGAACCTGTATATACGTTACATTGTAAGCCCAAGAAATCAACTCCACATTCTACAACCTAAAAACTTGTACGTCCAGTTTTAAGGTCCTCACGCTAGCTGCAACTTTTTCCTAACCTGGCTAGCTAACGATAACAATAAAACCTAACACACAAATTAATTCGGCTCATACCAGTGTGATAGTGATAGTTGTGTGTAAGTTGTTGCCTTCCCTTTTGAACCGGTCGTGAGCTGCTGTGCGGATGCGGAACTGCAAAAACAATGCGGACAGTTATTGCCAGAACATGGCCCATGAATTATCAATTTACTAAACAAGGTGGCAAGGTCATAGAACTAACTTTTAGATCTCCAGGTTCTCCATCAATTATAGGCTCACCATCTTCATAGAAGACCACCTCCTGTAAAATGGCAGAATTCATCTCATCCGAATCAGACATGAGTATACTAAGAGCAACCGTAGCCAGGAAACTTTCGACTTTGCAAAACAGAACCCAGTTTCATAAAAGTTATACTCACAAATTGAAATATCAACCAGTTTCATAAATTTACACTTACGAACTGGATTTGAAACAATATCAAGCAGTTCCATCAATCTTATGTGGAACAATAAATAAAGTTACCGCTCACACTAAAAGCTTATATTTCAGAAGATTCATAATGATACTCTAAAGGAATCAACAGGAATTAAAACACCAACACATATACGAGGGAATACATGAAAACACTGGGAAGAGATATTCGAATATGCGCATATGGAGGAAGTTATCTGTTGTTAACTGACATAAGCATATTGACAGAAATAAAAATTCAAGTTGCAAAAGAAAATGACGAATGAAAGCTTACTTGCCCATCTGGCATCCCTTTCTCAATATCAACAGTAACGAAATATCCCTCCCTTTCATATTTGACATTGGAACATTGGTCACAGACCTGAAAGAGCATAACAAAGTATGTAAGTACGGTAGTAGCATAATAGCCAGTGAAACTAATTGAAGAAAGGGACAGGGAAACAAAAGAGATAGAAATGCACTCAGAAGATTTTGCTGGAAGAAATGTTTGTTGAAGCATATACCTGTTCTGTCATCTGTTGGAACATCCCTGGACCAATTTGCCTGTGATATACCTCATTTCTGCAGTTACATCGTCTCTTGCCTGGTGCTGGCTTCAGAATGTTCTTCTCCCTCCAAACCTGATAAGGACAATGTACAATCACACACACAAAAAATGGAAACATCTACCAGCCTACAGGCTTGGAAAACTTGGTTTCTCTTGCATGTAATAAACGTAGAAACAAGATGTCAGAAAACACAACACATCGAAAAGCAGTGACCATATCAGAGAGACAGCGAGAGAGAAACTAATTATGCCCTGCTATTGGCTACCACTAAAAATCATTTTCATTATATATTGTTTTCTGTCACAGTTGATGTGATTACTTCCCATTATTTTGTTTTTTTTGTTAAAGCTTACTTCCCATTATTGGAATGGTTCAAATGTAGCAAGTAAAAGTGTAGCATTGGCGAACAACTTCATACCTTTCACATTGTATGAGGAATGCTTAATATTAGATACTGGAAGATAGCAATGCATATTCTTAATTGAGAGCTTAAAAGATATACATGTCTCTTGCCTTTAACGAGCCTCCCATATAGAGGTCTTCCAATGTTGCATCCAATTCAACGATTACATCATCTCCCTTGATGATTCTATCTTCTTCTTCCGTAGGGCGTCCACCACCAAAAAACCTATATGAAAAAGAAAAGATGAGTTTTATGGAAAGTTCAACAAGTAAAGCTGTTTGCACCGTTGTTTTTGGTCTCACTAAGCCCTCACTAAATGTGTGAAGTGGAGAGCAAAGGGCCTCCTCACCCACATCTTAGGGTTCCTTGGTTCCTCATCATTTGGAAACTCTCAGTTCTCTATATGTACAATGTAACCCACATTATAGTAAAATCTAGGCATAACTCAACGTGGACTGAATTGGATAAACCACGATCAATCAGTGTTTGTGTGGTCCCATACTCTCTGTCTCATTGAATAGTTATTCGGAATCAATACCAGCTACTGCTACCTTACTTTTAAGTAAGTAATTAAACTCAAACATGCTCCCCCAGGTCCATAGATTAGAGACATTAAATCTTAAAATTCTAGTTTTTCAGTTTTGAATTGGTGTAGGTTGCTAACATGAATGAATTACGATGTGATGTGAGTAATTGTACGGAGTAAGGAAACTGAAAAGTATAGCAATAAAATTGAACGAAGCATACTCGGAAAAAATGTCGTTGATGTTCATTCCCATGCCGCCGCCACCTCGGCCTCCACTAGCTGCATGCTGTTTCAAACCCTCTTCTCCGTACCTATCGTATATGTTCCTCTTCTCGCTATCCGAAAGCACCTCGTATGCTAATCAAATCAATCAAAGGACCTATTATTATTCTCGGCATCATTGCCATTGATTATTATAGCTAGGAAAAAGAACTGAGATTTGAGAAAGAAGGAAGGAAAGATACCATTGTTAATGTCGGCGAATCGTTTGTTGGCCTCTTCGTTGCCGGGGTTCTTATCAGGATGGTACTTCAAGGCGAGCTTCCGGTAAGCTCTCTTGATCTGCTCGTCGGAGGCTCCCTTGGGCACCTGCAGTATTTCATAATAGCTCTTCCCTGCGGCCGCAATGAGGGCGGCGACAGCGAAGGAGAGGAAGAAGAGGAACACAAGTAACAGCTTGGTTCTGTGGTGCGCCATCGCAAAGAAAGATCTGGGCTTGGATGGTGGATCTACCCCCAACCACTCAAACTCTCTCTGTTCGATTGAATTCAATGAGAGACAATAGAAACAGTAGCTCGACTGGCTTCGGCGGACAGCGGGTCCGAGGGTCCTCCTCCTCCTCCTCCTCCTCCTCCAGAGAGTCCCTGAGAGTCCTGAGACCTGGGAAGTCGTGGGATGGAGTGTTGAGTTGGTTCGTTGGTCCGTTGGTTGTGATTTGATTTCCTCTCCAAACAAACTGTATGAAAGTTGAACTCACTTTTTGGTCAATTCCCGAGTTTGTGTCAAACCATCAATTGCATATGGCAACGTGTTTTCCTCCAAGATTGGCCAATCACGTTGAACGTACAGTTGTTCCACCCAATCATAGTCTGCCACGTCGGATACGCTTCCGTTAATGCGCGTTCCTTCTGGAACCGGACTGGAGGCCGCGATGTCGAAAATGAAGTCTGGGCCGCGTATTATTATCTTCATTCAAAACCAAAGCCTAAATAATAAAAGACTTGATTGTGGGCTTTTCATACATGTCTCAGACCTCCCGAGCCAGGCAGGAAGGTGGCGTCCTTGCTTTTGGTCTAACTCATTTTTCTGCTCAGAATTTGAGTGGGCTGAGGTCCACATCATCGGTACAATGGGCCCATTACAAATGAGTTAATAACAGAAACAAATATTAATAAAAAATAAAATCTTTAATATTAGAAAGCCAGCAATCAACTTTGGTGTCTCAAGGCTTCACCAAAAAATTCTAGACTAATATTAGAAAGCCAGCAATCAACTTTGGTGTCTCAAGGCTTCACCAAAAAATTCTAGACTAAAATAACCCTCAAACAAAAAAAAACAAAAACCGACACAATATAATACATTAAAAAACTCATGGACATTTTTGTCAAAATACAAAAATATAAAATTTGTTTTATTAACAGAAAAAGAAAAAGAAACAGATAACTCCTCCATTTTAGGAGAGAGAACAACCAACGTGGGGAGAAAAATCTTCAGGATTAGCACGTTTAATTTTCAAACTGCATAGCAGTTTCCATACAGTTTTCAAACTCACACAACCTTTTATCATAACTTCTCTGTTCCATTGGTGTTCTATCGATTTGGCTTGGCTTTACTCCAATAGAACTCTATGTGCAGCATCGCAAAGTATCTTTAATTTTATTTCCTCTCTCCACGAATCAAAGGCTTTCAACGTTTCGTTGATGATGCAATTGAAATGTACGGAATCATGCAAATTCCCAATATTTATGAAGTTTTAGCTTCAATTTCTCTCAAAAAATTCTTTCGTTTGTTATTGTTTTTTAGCAAGTCGTGAGAGCTGGTTGCATAGGAAGAAGGATCAATGAAATCACAAACGTTATGTTCCAATTAATCCAACCTCTTCTCTTCAGTTTTGCTTTTTTCATTCTGTTGGCTCTCTTTTTAGTGTTTGATCGGGTTCTTTTCAGTTCCAAATGCAAAAATAAAGAAGAAATAAATACAGAAACCATATTTTTCCAAACCTTTTGTTTGTATTTCAAGCTATAACTACTCTGATTTTTCCTTCACAAAGGGCAGAAGGATCAATGAAATTACAGACGTAGTGTTCCAATTAATCCAACCACTTCTTTTCAGTTTTCCTTTTTTCATTGTTTATACATTGTCGCATTTCTCCTTATGTGGCCCTCGAGGTTCTTATTCCTTTCTTTAAGAGCTATTGACTTCTGTAAACATAATACCTTTTTGTCCTCTAATGTGATTGTTTTTTCAGGAATAGATTGAAAAGATTAAGAGGTGCCCTGAGCAAGATTCCTGTGACTGTCGAAGCCACAAAAAATGAAGAAGGAACCTATTGATAAGATCTCAAACAGACGTGTCGCTATTTTTACACCTGGTTGGGAGATATCTGTCGGAGTAAAAACTACTGATCTAAGCCAACTGATTCTCAAAGAGTGGAAAAAGAAGAAGCATGAGCAGTATGTATCCTAAATTATATACAAATTTGTTACAAGAAATCTAACATTATATATACCTTCAATATATAGGTGGCGCATGAAAAAGGCTGTGGAAGAATTAAAACCTTCAACAACTCCTCAGATCATACGTATTTGGAATAAAGTCCAACAAATTAGGTACAACACCATTTCTTAACTATTTATTTTTAATGGCATTCTCTATATCATTCTACAAATTAATTATCTCAAATTATAAAATAAAATAAAACAATTTATGGGTGCAGAAAAAAGATTAACAGTGGCCAAACAACTTTTCTAAATACGGTAAGTCTTCTCTTATTTTCATACAAATATACTATAAATTCAAATTGCATTCAATTTTCAAATATAAATAAAATTGCATTTTTTGTCAGTTTTACAAGCATCACACCCGTCTCAAAGTACAAAGGTTGAAGTACAAGATTAAGGTAATATTTCTTATTATTTAATTTTGTAAATATGGTTACAATTTGTTACCTCAAACTTGACAAATATATTTATCTTTCAGTATTCTACAAGTAACTGGAGTAAAAGTATTGCCATGAGAAAATTGTCAAACTTAAAGGTATTTAGGTTAAGTTGCTTACAATCTTTATAGTTGGGATTGTGCATTATAGTTAGACTTCTTATTTTATCATCATTGCTTGCAGATTAACCATGAAAATCTAAAGCATCAAGTGCAAGCAAATGGGTGGCAAGCATGGCTTTGATTTCACACGTAGGCGCTATGTTTACATATGTACATGTTGTCCATATTTTGCTGAAATCAACAGTTTTCAATCAAGATCAACAATCAATCAAGGTTTTCTTCAAGCGATTATGTCACAAAATTTTCAAATTTGAAAGTGTAGCATTATCGAGAGAAATAGGTTTTACTGTAAAAGAAATCTCTATTTGGTAGGCTCTCTCTAAATCCAGTTCCTTATAGCCTGCAATGAGTTGTGGAGATAATTTTAGTGAAAATTGGAAAGATTATGTAGTATGCTCGGTAGAGAAGGAAGGAAGAGGACCTTTTTTTCCATCATATCGTCACCTCCATCTTTGTTCTAGACAACGTCCCAGCACCTGTATTATAGGTTTGACGTATAACAAAGTTCAAAACAACCACATATTTTGCATGTATTTAGTTCACAAAAGAAATCAATGCTGATATTGTATATCGAAGATATAAAACTGTGTACTTGCCCTCTATCCGATAAAGGCACTCAAAATCAAAAGATGATGATGAATTGGTGAAGCAGATGCTAAGATTAGCAATTGGATTAGCTTTTGTTCTACAATTGGTGATGCAGATGATAAGATGGCTTTGGAAAACAAAGCGATTGGAGTCATACCCTTCCAAATCAAGAGAAGCAAGTTGGCAAAATTTATCATACATTAGAGGCATACCTTTCTGAACTATGCAATCAGAGTCGGCATTAAATTGGTTGCATTCCGAACAGATGGGGGGAAGTTGTGTCTAAAATTACCTCTCAATGTTATATGTTTCCTTATTATTGAAGTCATGGTATTATATAGCTGCAGTTGGTTAGGTGCTTACGATCTTTTGCAGGAAATAGCTTTATCTAACCATTGGATTTTTTGAATCACGTACTTCGAAAATGTAATATTATTGGCTATGTGACGAAATTATGTGATTGTAAGCATTTATAATGGAGTGTGTGATACTAAGATAGCTTGATTGGGAGTTTTCTAGAAGGCTGGTACATATGATATTGGGAGTAAATCAGTTAAGTTATTGTCAAGGGGTATCATTACTTTACACAAAGTAAAAAGGAAAAACATGATAACTTTTAAGGAAGTGTATGATAAAAAAAGTTCCTATTTGCACAATACATTTAAAGTATATCTTGACAATTACAATGGGAAAAACTAACACAATACACCTTTAAGGGCGCGTAGCGCCCGTGATGCAAAAATGCCTCTCGCACGCACGTTAGTGCGTGCAGAGAGGCTAGTAAACAGATAATGCTTGTATCCCATGGGTATACACATATCCTATTTGGAAATAATGTAATTTTGGACTGAATAAAATTAACGATTATAATCTTTCAACTGAGAGTTCTTAGGTTGCCACTTAGTATTATAGTTTAATAGTATTCATCTTCATTTGTATGTGAGAGGTCTTATATTCAACGATTTTATTAATTTTTAAAACAGTGAAGTGTTGAAAATGCCCCTATATGTGGGATTGTTGACTTTAATTGACCATCATTTCGTGAAGCGTATGAGCTATTATTTTACTGTATTCTTGAAGTACTGAACGGTACGAACGCGTGGACGCAAGCAGAATCGAAATTAGAGCTACAATTAAAATTTTACAAAACTACAAACATGAAGGGTATTTTAGTAATTTCACGTTTATGGGAGATATTTTCTGTATTTCTTTTTGTGGCCTTGCGCTGTGTACCACCTGGGGCCCACACCCCATACTCCTCCCATACTTAAACTCTCTTCTTCTCTGCAAATCGAGGGCATCACCACCACGCCAGTTACAATTATCACCAATCCGGCGAGTTCTCAGGGCACCTTCCTTGTGTCCTCTCTTAAACTCTCTCTCTCTTGTCCTTTCCCTCCATGTACACTAATACATTGCAACACCACCTCGTCGTCTCCGTGCGAGCCTCACAACGAGACCATTTTCATATTACTGCCATCACCAACCACTTGTACGACCAGAACTGAAGGCAGAGCTTTGAGCTCGTTTTTCTCTCTCGTCCCTTCCTCTACAAATTAAACCGAACCACCATTATCCTTGGCGAGTTATCATGGAACCTAGCGAGTTCTCCACAATCCCAACCAACGTAAGCCTCGGGACTTCCTTGATCATTCCCTCATAAGTCTAGTTCTGAAGCTACGTGCATGTTTTGATGGTGTTCAAGTGCAAAAAATACCTCGGGGAAGGTTTCCTAGAAAACTGGCGAGGGAAAAGTTGTGGCCACCAAGCCATTTGTAGGTTATTTTTTCCAGCCAACACCATCCATAACTCGGTTCCCTTTTGGTGAAACACATCACAAGGAGCTTCGATGCCCGCGAGTGGGTTCAACCAGACGACATGATTTGTGAGTGGATCTTTGCTTTTAAATACTATATATTTATTTTGTTTCCACATACACACACACACACATATATATATACACACACACACTTAATAAAGAATTTACTACGTATACCTAGATTAGATTAACGTTTATAATAATTTACAAAACTATGCTAAATCCTACGAGATGCACATATATGCGTACTACTATGGGATTTTATATACGACCATGATTAACATTTTATTTAAATAATATGTTGTTGACTAGAATTATCGAATCATTGTGGCATGACTATATTTATGTTATATGTTCATCGTGTTAATACTCCCCCGGGGCCAGGGCCAGTCTTTCATGTGTATGTTCACATTGCACCATAAGCTCACTTTGGATCCATTGTAGGTGTCAGTCCTGTCCTAAACTGTTATAGGCAATTAGGACTCGTATGTGATGTGCATATCGCCAGTCTTTACGTGATTGTAGTACTATAACGTAAATCATTATTACATACAGTCATGTTTATGTCCGAATATCTCTGAGTGAACTCGTGTTTCAACATATGTCAATGAGCACTTGATATTATATGTTCATTCTTTCGAGTTATGGTGATTATAGATTTATAGGTTGTCATGCGTTTCATATGTTGAATATCGTGAATTGTTGCATCCTGGTGATATTCATGTTTACGATAATTATTTTCATACCATACGTAGTATGTTATATGTTGGAACTATACTTGTTTTACGATGAGGGGTTATAATGTTTTCAAAAACGTTTTTACAAAACTTTATTTTTAGGCCCACTCACCTTTGTTTTTCGCCCTTCCAGGTTTTAGTAGCAAAGCTTTCGTGTTGACGAGGGTTCTTGGCAAATCTTGGTATAGGTGATTACCTTCGATGGTATAATTCTCATTCTACCTTACTATATTTTAATTATGCTCTGACGTCACTTGTGAAATGGGTTCATTTACGCTCGCATGCGCACTCTTACATTTAGGTACTTTTAAGTTTAAATTTACTTACGCTTTCCACATCACTACACTTTATGACTTCGTCAACTTCCTGGTGTCGGCCAGCATAGCTCGATTCGGAGTCCAGGTGGACATTTCGGGTCGGGGTGTGTCACGATTCCCGCCAAAGACGAATTTGAACTACATTATTGGTAGCTCATTGTGAGGCTAAGACCATCTCCTCCCCTTTAGTGTAAATAATATAGTTTGTAAAAAAATAAAAATAAATTAAAAAAAAAGTCTTAGGTTCGATTCTCTACTAAGGCAAATTTGAACCACATTATTGTTAGTCTATTGTAAGGTTAAGCCTTTAGTGTAGGTAATATTGTTTTATTAAAAAAACTTTAAATTTATTAATTTTCATTTGAAGATCATTTTAACAAAATATCATTCAAATTTGAGATCGTTTAATCATTCAAAAGTATCAAATAAATAGAAGGTTCATTATGAAGATGTTATTTGCTACTTGAACCGTCAAACAGTAATTTTTTTTTTCTTTTGGTAACAATTTAAAATATAAATTTGAATGACTAATTAATCTTCAATAAAAGTAATTTTTTTTTAAAGATATTTCCAATGAAAATTAAAAAAATTAATTACTTCCTATTATAAAATTGTACAGTTAATATAAATTATTCGTGAGAGGAAATGAACTCGTCTCCTACAAATGAGTGCAAGCATTATACAAAATAAAATTATTTGTGTGGTACCTGCCACCTGGCAGAAATAAACACTTCGAGGATTCTTCTAGTTTTCAAGCGGAGGCTGTGAACTGAATGAACGAAAAAGGCCCAGAGAGAGCAGAGCAAGAACAACATCAGCAAAAGAATTAAATATCGTTATGCCTTGTTGCTTTTCTTGAAAATTGATGGATGCATGGATTTTTTGTTATGAATCACAAAGTAACACGACATCCCCAAGGTCATCCTTTTTTCCTTCTGTTTTTCCTACTTAACGTCTATATGGAATAGCTACTTAATATTACTATGGTATAGTCTTATTTATTTTTATTTGTGAGTAAAATGTATAAAGTTCAATTCTTGCTAAGTTGAATTTAAATCAAATTATCATGATTAACTCATTATAAAATTTAAGACAGTTAGGCCCACTCTTTCACCTTTTAATGTTGATAACATCAAATATATTAAAAACAAAACATTTATATGCAACATGGGGACGCTTATATATCGTAAACATGTATATGAAAATTTATGATTACTCATGTCATTCATTAGTCAACTAGTAACACATGGATTCCTTTGAATATGAGAAACAACAATTGTTGTTTGCTACGCCCCTATTAGAAGTGGGTATGCCTTACTAACTTGAGAGTTCAAACGCGCTTAATATGATCTCACAAAAAGTGATAATGAATCTTTTACCCACTTGACTTAATTATTCATACAACTAATAACTTTAATCACTTGCTTAGTTATAAGCCCACGCTGCAAGGCTCGTACTTGACAAAAGATAAGCATGCACACAAACAGTGCAAGTTTTTTATTTTTATTTTTTCAAAAGAACGAACTATATAATTAATCTAATTTAAACTAAGGTTTTCCACCGAGGATATGCTCCAATAAAACTAAATAGTTTATAGTATATACACATTGGATATCTTTAATTAAACTTCATTAATTGTAATGCCGATCAGGACACAGAACCTTAGCTATATATATGAATGATATCCATGAATCATCATGAGTTGGCTTTTATTACAATAATATAAATTCAGTATGAATATGATTTGATATGATCATATGCACATTACTTGTTTTTACTTGGTACGTACGTACGTACTCGGTACTTCACAACTTATTATCATCTACCTAGCTAGGTAGGATTAACGTCTCTGCTTAATCTCTAATACAAAGTAGAGAGTAGACTCAGCCACCGACATAGCCTTATAAATATGATTAGGTATGCGAACGCCAGCCATGAGTACTAAATGTTGGGATAATGTAAACTATGAACTCATATAACTAATTGATTTTATGATAGATTCTTCACTCATTTCTTTTATACATACATACATACATACATACATACATATATATATATGTATATATATGAATGATTCAAATTCAAGTGACTGGATATTAAAAAAGTACGACGTGGGAGGGGAGGTAGATGACAAAAAATATTTTGGAGATTCTTCACTCATTTCTTTTATACATACATACATACATACATACATATATATATATATATATATATGAATGATTCAAATTCAAGTGACTGGATATTAAAAAAGTACGACGTGGGAGGGGAGGTAGATGACAAAAAATATTTTGGAGACTAAGAAAGACGAACAGGACATTTGATATTTTAGGAAGGACCTGACTAGTCTGGAGGGAGGGAAAGAGAGGGCCGGGAGGCTCATCAACGTGGGAGATGCAAGCCCCGTAACGAGGTCCTGGACACACAGGCAGCCACGATGTGGTATGGACATGTAGACTTCGTGGCACAATCTTCCACCACACCTCCGTCACCAACAAATATCCAACTTTTTATTTAATGGTACACACCCACCTCCTTTTCTGACTCTTTCTCTCTCGGCCCTGGGAGCTCATACTTATCACTCCCTGCGGGACCCTGTCCTTGTGTAAATCACCTTTTTAAACCCTCGCCTTCGCAGCCTCAGAGTGATCTTCGTCGTCTCAGTGAGGACCCGTTACTTGTGAGTTGTGAATTATCTCTGTTGCTGCACGTTATATACAATTATAGGCAGCAAGCATTTGGTCAACTCGATATCGTTGGTTCGGTCGAGAGATTAATTAGAGATAGAAATGGGGAGGGCGCCGTGCTGTGAGAAAGTTGGTCTCAAGAAGGGAAGGTGGACTGCGGACGAGGATGAAATCTTACTCAGTTATATCCAGGCCAATGGGGAAGGCTCCTGGAGGTCTTTACCCAAGAATGCTGGTACCTACTTTTACTTCTTTCTTTCTTTTTATAACAAATGGATCATGAATTTGTTAATAATAATGCATGGTACAATTTAACTAATTACTAATAATATAAATTCTTCAACTTGAAGGGTTGCTGCGGTGTGGTAAGAGTTGCAGATTGAGATGGATAAACTATCTGAGAGCTGACTTAAAGAGAGGAAATATTTCTTCTCAAGAGGAAGATGTCATCATAAAATTGCATGCTTCTTTGGGTAATAGGTCAGTCGCGTACTCATAACCTTTGCATTAATTATTCTTAAGTAGCCTAATTTTAATTATTTTCTCGCTTTTTTTATTTTCACTTATAAATGAGATGTTATAAATTTAATTTTTTTCAAATGAGAATTTAAACTATATTATTGCCAAACCTATCATGAAATTAGGTCAACACCTTCTCCTTCACACATCATACTTATTTTACCAAACCAAATAGCAAAACTAATACGTAAAAACGAAAACAGGGCATAAGAGAAGAGAGGGGTACTATAAATATATATATATATATATATATATATATATATCTAAGTAATGTTATTCATATCATGTTGTTATACCATATTTTTATATTATCTTAGGTAACATCTGATGTGAATAGCCACATCATTTGAAAAATTTGCAAAACTCGAGGAAATGAAGGAGAAAGACTCGTTATATACTACAATCATCATTTAATTAAATAGTTTTTCTTAATTATTAATTTATTAATTAATGAACTAAATTTAAAAATCTGACTAATTTAAATAATGTGATCATCCATATCAAATAACATCTAAAATGGTATAAAAATATAATACAAAAAAAATTACTCTTTATATCTGTTATATTTGTGTATCGTCTTGTCATGAGTGTTGCCGGTTCTCAAGTTTTCGGATTCTTTTGTTTGCTGTCCATGTCATAACTGTCATTGTCATTAGTCAGCAAATAAATTTGCCTTTTTGTTAGTTGAGAAAGAACTAGAACTAGACCAGCAGGCTTACACCGTACGTCAACAGGAAACTAAATCTATGAATTAAAATTTATAAATTAAATGACATTATAAATTATTAATTTGTTTATTATTTAAATCTCTATTAATTAATCAAATATTCTTTGTCAACGAAAATCTTATGAAATTATTAGCTTAACTTTTTAATTAAAACACAACATAAATAAGAAATATGGGGTAAAAATGTAATTTCACACAATCAAATTTTGTTTTTTTTTTTCAAAGTCGTACTTACCTGTAATCTTAACATATCTCTAATTAAAATAAAATAAAAAATTCTCACACACTTTGTGTGTGCCCATATGCTAGTGATAATTAATGTAATTATTTTTTATTGAAGATATTATTTAATTTACAAATTTAGTTTACAACTTTAATTTTCAAAACATTACTCTACATCGACGAGATTCGAGTGTAAAAGCACAGAAAGGATACTATTACTATGGATAATGTTAGGAAGATTAAATTTGCAAACTAAATGATGTGTAACCAATCGGAATAAGCATGTTATTAACATTTAAGTAATAAATCAATCATTAACTTCCATGTCACTTAATTTTCAAAACTTTATCTACAAATTTAATCTCTCTAATATTACTCTACTACAATTGATTTGGTAGTGAATCTTGATTATATCAACTCACGTGTAACTGTCAGACGTAATCTACCCAACCAAAAAAAAAAAAAAAAAAAAACATACACATACAATTGGCGTCTTTAATTAAAACTCCGATTTTATTTGCATAGAAGCTCCTACCAATATCTAAGTCTATCAAATGTACCCACAGGCCACACGTACAAAAAAGAAAATGAAAGAAAGACCCTCTCGATTTAGCTTACAAAGATTTGTATGATATGAGTATATATAATTGTTATTACAATAATACATTCTTATCATGTGATATTATGAGTTAAGTTTTCTTCACATGGTATTCTATAATTTCACGAGTACACAGAGTTACTATGGTGTTCTATATCAAAATCATGCAATACTATTAATAAGAATTTTTTTTTCACATGACATTGTATGATATAGTTGACGTAAGTACAGTGTAAACTACAATGTTTTGTGCCAATCATGTATTGTATGTATAAATTCTCTTCCACGTCCCTTCATATAATTAGCGCAAATTACCAATGTTAACATATTTTCTTGTCTATATGTATGTTAGAGAAAGAGTCTTGTCCAGGAAATTGTATCTCCTAAAATTTAAGAATTAATATTTGAATCTGATTTCGATTATATTCATGTTCTATAATCAAACTGACTTTACTTGACAATTTTTCTTTGGGACCATAAAATTTGGCCCTTCACATTTAATATAAAGGGGAACAAGGAGAAACTTAGCTAGCTGTAGATATCATCAGTACATGACACACACACACACACACACACACACACACACACCATATATAGTATACAGTAGATTATGCTCTTTCCTTTTCTTTCTAAGCATGCAATACAAATGAAAACTTGATTTATCATTGCTGGTTAATTAATGAATAATATGATTATGAATGTATATGCAGGTGGTCTTTGATAGCGAGTCAATTACCAGGAAGAACCGATAATGAAATAAAGAACTACTGGAATTCTCACTTGAGCAGGAAAATTGACACCTTCAGGAGGCACACCACCACAATCGCCATTACTACTGAAATCAGCACCAGTTCCCTACCAGCTGGTCATGAAGTTTCGGCAGCTATGGAATTAGGTCCTCCCCCTCCTAAAAGAAGACGTGGCAGAACCAGTCGCTGGTCCATGAAGAAGAACAAAACCTACTTGACCACCAAACCCAAAGGCCTCGAGGCCCGGCTGAGCCAGAGCCACCACAAAGACGTTGATGTTTCTGCTGCTGCTGATGATGATCGTTTAAATAATGTCCACAAGGCAACTTCCTTGCCTACTGAAAATAATAATAAAACCGTGGACACCATGCAAGACGATTACGTGCTACTAATTGAGGCCCCGGACCAGCAGCAGGAAACTGGAGGTGGAGGAATATCAATGATGGCAACGGTCATTGATCATCAGAAAGAAAGTGATGGCGGAAAACTAATTTTAGGACCACATCCACTTGTACACGACGATGGTGATATGAATGAATCTGTCGGCATTGATGGAGGGTTGTTGGGGTTTACTGACTACTTGATGGACGATATTAATGAGGACGAGATACTGGATCCAAATGGTGTTTTGGCTTTAAGTGCAAGTGAAATAAACATTCATCAAGATGCTGATCATTTTACGGACGCGGATCATCATCAGGACACAGAATTACCGTCGTCATGTGACCAATTAGTCATGTGTCCAAATAAAATTATGATGACAACGACGACTACTACTACTACGGCAGCCAATGATGATCATCACGATCAGGAGCAAGAGAGCAGAAGCTGCGGTGGTAATTTGAGCTCGTTGTCGATCTCAAACTCAAACGGACAAGTCGTCACGGGGGACTTGCATTCATGCGGCTCTTCGATGTCACTGACAAATGCTAGTAATTGTGATATGGAGGATGGTCATACTGCTGGTGGATTCGGAACTTACGATCATACATTATGGGATTGGGAGAGTGTACTTATCCAAGCTCGGACTGAGCATGACTACTTATGGGATGGCCATGACAGACAAAACATGCTGTCTTTGTTGCGGGAAGGAGAATCTGCTACTGCTGCCGGTGATGATGATCACGCTGATGCCATGGTGGCTTGGCTTCTATCTTGAATATTCAATTCAATTTGTCGTACCCTAGCAGCCTTTTATCACTTTGTTGCTCCTTTGGTTTATTGGACTTTTTCTTTTGGTTTGAATGAGAAAGATCCCAATAATTAATTAAAATGATAAGACAAAGAATCTAATTTCACGCACGATTACAAATATAATAAAAAGACAATACAAAATTTCAACTACATAAGTACATCCAATTATAATGCTCACGAGAGGACAAAATCTTGTAGTACTTTCTAATGAACTTGCAAAGATGAAGCTTTTTAGCAAGGAAGCTTTGTTGTGAAATATCACGAAATGATCCTCATAGTCTTGCGAGAGGCAAACAAACAACAAAACCAACGTAAAAAAACTAAGGTCGGCGATGGTAAATCTTTTATATGTGTTTCTTTCTCACTCATTGGTAAAAAATTATCATCCTATATATCTTAATTAATTTCTACTTCTTGTACTTAATTGCTTTCTTTATCAATCTTCTTTGAAAGAGTAAATCATAATTAAGACAAATTTAGTAATTTAAAGCAATCCATTAATTCAAGATAGGAAGTTTGGTCGAGGCATATTTATGAGTTGTAACAAAAAAAAGACGTCGCTTAAGTTACAATAATTGAGAACCAAACTTACTCACCCTACCTAAATGTTATTGGATTGATAAAACTATGAGCTACTAATCAATCATTTATTAGTTTACGATCGAGGTAGCTAGCAAGTTGTCTTAGGAAATATATCAAAACACACACACACACACACACACACATATGTATACGTGTATATAATGTACCATGGATATAATTTCTTCTATTCTTTCCGAAATTCCGGTGAACTACAAATTTTTTGGTAAAAGATGAATCACAAATGTATGTCAAAAGAGGTAACTATGGGGACACTACTTGACAAGAATAATTTACATGCAAAACAATAAATCTACAAGATGTTGAGATGAGTATTATTGCATGTGATTGAATGATGATAATCTTGTGTTGCTCTATATATTGTTAAATAATTTTGATCAAGTTGAATGTTCGCATTCTAATTAATAGCAATTTTATGAAAACAAAATCGTGGATTAACATATATTGAGCATGAAGAGTGAACGGGCCAATATAATTTAGGAGAAACAGGCAAGGCAACATCGACCAGATGCGCGCGCGTGCGTGCATTCTCACTGCATATACGTTCAAGACACGAGTGGATACCAACAACAATTGCCAGATCTTTCCTTGTTATGTATTACAACTAAATGTGTCGGGCACTTTTGAAGGAGGTTGACATGATGGAAAGAAGGGAGAGGGCCCATTAAGAAAAACCGACGGTGTCTACGGTTTTTTTTTAGAAAAATTAATGAAAAATGTTATAAAACTTTTAGTTTTAACGATAAAGATAAAATAAAGGGTAACATAAATAGTATCAAGTTAGATTTTTTAGTGTAAAAATATGATTTTTCGTTAAAGTGAATAGTACTGCAAACTTTTCGTTAAAACTCCATTTTTTTTTGGGTAAACGTGTCTATAGTTTCTTTAGTTATCTCCAGCTATAAAAAATGAGAGATTTTTCAATATGACCGATATATGTGTTAGTATACCACATGTTACTATACAAATGATTGAATATGTGTAATGAAAAGTTAATAACTTAAAAAATAAAATTTCCCACCACATATATAAAAACACATAATGTACCATCCGTATTCTGGTCATAAAGAAAATTTTCACATCAAAGAGGAGAGATTTTTGTAGGAAAATAATAACCACACACCCTACGACGTGTGATCATCGTTTTTTTTTTTCTTCTACTCCAGCCCTCTTGAGTTACTAAACATTAATATTTGCATACACACTTTGTGTGTATGATAACATTTTTTTGGAAAATGGGAAGGAGTGGAGGGAGTGGGAGGTTTTTGTTTTTTGTTTTCTTTTTTATTTAAATATTGGAGGTATTTATTGAAGATATTTTAACATCACCTGTAGGTGAGACTTCAATAAAAAACAGTAAAATTTAGACCTGTGAAATAAAAAATAAGAGATAGATTACTCATGAATGAAATTTATTCATTCTCATCATTTTTAAATTGGTAGGATTAGAAGAGATGTGTTTTCTTCGTATCTAATTCTCTCTTAATCTTTTAAAACTGAGTTATTTATTCTAATATAATCCAACATACGAAACGAGCCTCATTAGTAGATGCCCTCCCTAAATCAGAATGCTTGTGTATTTTTATGCAAGAAATACTTTTAGAAAGCACTTGAAGATCGCTTTTAACTTCTGCCAATCGCTATCAGAAGATTTTTTATTGTATAAAAATATTTTTAATTATTTTAAACGATATGATAGTATTTAATAGTCCGAAAACACTTTCAAACATATAAAAAGTAATTAAATTTTGATTTTAATTTTCTATGGGCAAAACCTAAGAACTTATTGTGGGCTTAGATTCTCTGTGGCAATGTCGTTCGGAGATTGAGAATGGGCTACTGACCTAGGTCTCAAATAAGAAAGCCCAAGTTTAAGGAACTGGTCACCCGTTTAGCCTTTAGCGCGGCTACTGGCGGTGGACGACTCCACTGTTGGCTGCGGAGTGCGGAGGGAGTGGGAATGTTGAGGTTGAAGCCAAATCGCATCGGAGCCTTCACTACCACTGGTAAAAAGGCTTCTCCCTCTCTCTCTCTCCCTCCCTCTCCCTCTCTCTCACTCAGCCATTAGCTATTACTTTGGCTTCAAAACTCGATAGAATAGATTATGATTTCTAAACATTCATTTCATACTTTACAGGTGAAGAGCTCTTCGTTTCATTCGCAGCAAAGCTTCTTCGGTAATTACTTCCGAATCTGACCTCAGTTTTCTAAATATATTTATCTATTTTGAATGAATCCTTATCAAGGCGTGGCGTTGCATTATTTGATGCATACTTCCTGAATGACAAATCTGTAAATAAACATAATATGGGGATAGCAAAACTTTAATGATTGTATGGTTGACATGGTTTCTAATTTCTGTTTAAGCAATGTATGTAGTTCTACTTCCTCAGAATTGTCAGGTTCAAGGGGAGTATGTTTCTACAAAAGTCCTCACTTGTTATACATTGAAATTTTCACTTTTGACGTTTTCACTTCTGTCAAGTGTCAACCACAACGATGAATTTGAATTCCACTGCCCTTTCTACTTGAATCATAGCTTGTCAGTTTCTGTTTGAAGCTTCTGAAATATATTAACTTATTGTTTCGATGGAAGATGTCATGCCACCATAGATTTTTCTTTCAACCCATTATCTGCGAGGAATAGGGCTTTATCTTGCATAACAACGTTCCCCCGGTCTTTTCATTCTTCAACTTCTGAAGATGACACCTTCTCCGAATTGGGCTCCCCAGTGCCTAAAGCTCCAACTCATGCTCGGAAGTTGAAGTTGATGACGGAGAAGCCTGAGCCTTATTTGGTATGTTCATAATGCCCCAACCTCGTACATTCATTACTCTGTCTTGTGTGCGTGTGTATGCATTTGGCTTCGGTTTTGTTACTCAGAACGCATGTGCACTGTAGAGATATTACCTCTGCTCGCGGTTTCATGAATATTGCTGAAATGAAACATGCCATGTTTTCTTACAAATTCCATTTCAAGCAGAAAACTAATCGTACAAAAAGACCTTCTCGAATGCCTTCAGAAAGCCGCATCAGATTGAAAGATAATTCCTCAAAACTGGGTAACTTTGTCCAACCATTTCTTTCTACATTGACAGCTGCAACAATAACAACAATATTTATTTATGCATTGAAAAAAATATGACCTTCCCATCTGTTACTATTGTAGTGAGAACATATCTGCAATCAACCTTCCCTATTAAAAGAGGCCCTGCCCACCACTTTTACGAATCTGTCATATACCTTGTCGTTTACCCTTGAACTGTTGAATAACCCCCATAGTCCCTTTCCATTTTCCATGGTTTCTGGATAATTATTTAATGCCCATGCTTCAAAAGAGCAGGTTCGGATTGGGAGGCTGTTGTACAGAGTTTTGGTCGTTCAATTGATCCACCAGAGGAGGAAGAGGAAGTTACCATTAGAATTACCAATATCAATTCGGAGACAACGGACTCTGCAGTGCACTCAATGTGCACGTCTTGTGGTAGCTTAGAGGGGCTTGTGACGACAAAAGAAGATGCAGTTGACGCCTTGTTTAGCGTGAAAAACAAGGCAGGCATAAAACGCATAATCAAAAAGTAAGAAAATACTTGCATTTCTTTTCTTGATTGCGTTTGCATTGTACCTTCATCAATAGCATTGCATTTCTATTTTTTAATCTGGAAACTACTGGACACATGCAGATATGACGAGTGTCTGTCATACTCTTCTCTCCTTGGATTTTTTGTATGTATAATATCATATATTTTTGCTTGTGTGTATTCGGATGGAATAGTGAAGAGTGTTGAAGTCTAGATGCTCCACTAGATAGAATTTTTACCTTATTAATTGTTTTGAGATATTGTTTTTGTTTTAATGAATAGTTTCCCATGCTTAGTTCTGGTATTTTGTGGGTATGGATGTCAGATTGAATGAGACGATGGTGAACGGTCACAAGTGGTCAGCTGATTTACATGGAAGAGACTCCTCCGCTGAAGTGAGGAGCAAGCAAAGCAATGCGAACCATGATTTGAGATTGGAGATAAGCCGTCAACTGGCGGACGTAAGAAGGGAAGTCACAAGGAAGACAGTGTGCATACAAGACTTGGAGTGTCTGCATAACGCCTTGTTGCACATTGAGGGGGAGGCTCATCCTCACACCACCCACACCCACTAGTATTCACAACGACCGAGTTGGCAAATTATGCCCCCGCCCCTGGCCCCCTACCATACATAGTTTTAGTAAATGCATTACATATTAGCAGAATTACGAATAGATGCCGAATTTGTTTGGTTTATGATTAACAGGACTGACCGGCCACACGTTCTTGACGTTGCTGACCCAAAACTAGAAGGCTGCATGTACCTGTGACCGAGGCAATATTTTGTACGGACGGAAGGGTTATTGATAAATCAATTATCATATTATTATCTTTAATCATCCATTGCCATTCAATCATTGCTCTAGTTCGCTTACAAGTGGGGGCGAAATGAGAATCGTAATCTTAATAGACCAGCTTAACA